CAGCAACTGGATGCTTAACCACCCACTGAGCAGCTCAGGTGGGAGTGTTCAGCTGTATATGTGTGATAAAGGGTTGTTAAAAAGAGTTTAATGTCTTTATCAATGACCCTAAGAAGTAATTTCATGTCTTACCCAGACAAACTTACTTAACATCATTACGGCTGCTCACCCAGAGGAACAAGGAGACGTTGCTGGTTGGGTGCGCCATGCAGTTATACAGTACATTAAAGAACAATAGACAGATTAATGTACAGGTAAGAAAAGAAATACTGGTGATTCTACAAGCACATTATCGGAAACCAAGACAATATGAAAAAGTCTATATGGCTTCTGGGTTTACTGTAAGTGAGGAAGAAAAGCTATAGTGGCTCCCATAAAGTTGAACTTGCATCATGGAATGGTTATTTCAGTGAAACCAAACTCAATTTGGCTTGTTCTGTTGCTGATTTCCACGGTATTGTTAATAGCTGACATAAAATTACTTTTACTGCATTGTAGGTAGTGCATGACGAGGTTGAGATCAACAATAAATCCACCAGAGCATCAGTTATAGTATTAACTAACTGATCTGGAACTCAACATGTAGAGCATGACAACACTGGAGCTATGCTATCTATACTTACTGACGTCATGAGAATAACCAATCAGAAGCAAGCATGATCTATAATGAGGCCAGTTTCATAGTTCAATGAAAAAAAGATTTCTCTTTTGGGCATAGAGATGGATAAACATCAAGTCAGTTCAAGCGTTTCAAAAGGCAGTAGATCCTGATTTGTGGAGCGAAGGGTTTGGATTGAATTTTCAGCCTCAGCTGGGGAGTGAAGAGAGCCGTTTCAATGTCCGTGAACCTGGCAGTGGGACAGACGGGGCAGGTCAAACAGTATGGCTTATTGTCCCTGCCAGCCAGTCAGTCAGCCCACACAGCGAGGGACCCACGGACGCCCCCGTTTACCCTGCTGGCTACTGCTCTGACAGCATCTGACAGCTTGATTTATAACTTAAGTTTCACATTTGAGCTTTTTAGCTCTTGTCCATAGGGACTTACAATGAGTGCAGCAGCAGAAAAGGCTGCAATTCATAGATCCCCCAAACACTGGCAACAAGCACTGGTATGGCTGTCAGGACCATGGCAACAGATGTAAACAAATATTTCATTTGTGCCTTGAAAAATGTGCGAAAAAGTTGAAGAAGGTAACAGAAAACCATGTGAAATGAGGCAGAAAAATCCACATTTTCATAGGCTTTTGTCTGTTTTACTGTGCAGCTATTCTCACCACTCAGTTCACCTGTTGTGCATCACATCACACACACACATACAACTAAAACCACACACCTAAAACACACACATAGCTGCTGAACTTTTTAACGGGAAATCCGATCATCTTCTATGTCCCGATTGCTCTCTTTCCACCTGTTCTCCTCTCCTCCTCGCAGAATAGAGCTGGCCTCTGTGCTTTTCCTCGGCTCTTTGTGCTCGCACACAGACATCTGTAACATTAAGCCTATTTACAGCCGACACAAAAAGAGGGAGAGGGGTATAAAAGGTAAGCCTATAGGCCTACACATGCAGCCGGAGAGGAAGCTGAGGATCAGTGCAGCGTGGAGAGCACAAAAGGGGCCTCTGGGTCAGTAAATCCTGCCCCTGTCACCTTCTGGTGCGTGGAAACACAGCACGGTTGATGAAAGTGTTAGAGCTAGGCGCAGCACGTTGTACATCTCTGATCCTGCCTTTTATCTCCGTCCATTCTCCCCCTCTTTCTCTTTTCTTTATGGAACACTGCTTTGAAAACAATCCAGATTGATGTGGGACTGCGCGCTTTGTGACGGCAGCTTGGATGTCATGAGCGATGAATGGCAAACTGCTGCATGAGGAGGTTATCTTCTGATCAGTGTATCTGGTTGTTGAAGACAGTAAAGGGCATGCAGTGGCCTGGTTAGTTATCCCAGATATTTATCATATTTGTTTGATTGGAGTTGGAAATGAAAAGTGTAGTATATCTGACGGCAGTGGAAGTGAAACGTGCATATGTAAATGTGGCATATGATCTCAAGACTGGGCTGAAAGGTGAAAGCGGGTCATAAAAAAAAACACTAGATAACCGCACAGTGTCGTTAACATGACTGATGAATTTTTACATAAAGGTGAAACTACCATATGTCAGACAGATGACAGATAGATAATAACCTGCTGAGGAAACTACAAATAGCCACAAGCACAGTGCTGTGAGTCCAGATATTTGGCACTAGAAGTTTGGATACTGGCTCAAATTTAGCTAGCTGGTAAATAGTAATAGTAACATCATCAAGCAATACACACACAAAAAAGAAATCGGTACGCTTTCCTGGTCATGACCCATCGGGCCCCTTCCTTCTATGACCTTGTATAACCCAGCTCCAAAACCTCCAATCCCCTTTGTGAGAATGAGGTAAGTGGTTCCAGATTTGGCCTAAAGGAAAACTGTCAATCAAGCTGTGGGAATCTGGGCTGTGTTTCGTAATGGTCCGGTCGTCCTGAAAACATCATCTGGAGGAGACAGTGAGCAACAGGAATGTCGTCTGAATCATCCTCTGACTGTCTCACTAAAAATAAACTCAGGGCTGAGCTTCTCTCTCCCTGAGATGAAAGCAAGATAACATTTAAGTCAACAAAAAGTACTTTTCTTTGCATTTTTATTAAGGATTTGTCATAGTAAATAAACGTCCAGTCGCTGTCACTCATCACATTTATCTACCTGAAATCTATGTTGTCTTTCTCCCCTGTCATTAGTCTATCTGCCTGTGTCATCTCTGTCGGGGGTTGCACTGTTATCACTGAGCTGTCATCAGATGCCTAAGTTCACTGAAGTCAGGGAAGGTTCAGTTACTTACTGGAAAGATCTGCAGTGGCAGCATGTCTCTGTCCGTCATTTATCAAATTCTGTTGTGACCGTACCGGGCTGTTTTTGTTGGGAAGAAACATTTTTGGGGAGAAAATTGAGTGAATTGAACAGTCACATTAAAATTATGGATTCAATTGTCACTTTAAACACATGTAAAAGAAAATCTGTGAAAATGTAGGTGGGCTTCAGAGCTGCTTGTTCAGTCACTCAAATACCAAAGTTAATGGAATTTAAAAAACAGCATTTTAAAATTCATCTCATCTTTACAAGACAAGTTGAAAATGTTTAAACTTGTGTGTGAGTCCCGGAGTTATCTTCTTCCTAAATGTAGAGACACGCCGTGGTCGGTGCGATATGCTTGCTAGCTTACAGCTAACGTACGGTTGGTACGTTGTGTTTATTCCAGAGTTAAATGAAAAGACTGATAACATTATATGTCTATGTCTCCAGCAAAAACACTGGAAATTGGGGAAACTGCTAGCCGAACGCAAACTATCAGTACCACTAAAGCTACGTTATAGCTTAGCTATCTAAGCTAAGCTAACTGGCTGCTGCCGGTTATTTACTGTACAGATATGAGGGTATCAATCTCCTCGTCTAAATCTTAGAAAAATGCAAATAAACATATTTCGCAAAATGTCAAACTTTAAAATGACCTAACATTTTAACCAACAAAATGATTGTCCTTTAACTGAAACACAGCACCTCACCCCTAGCTACATACAACACGAGTCATTTTAAAGAGGAATAAATAACTGTGTAAAGTGGACCTTCAAGGGTGAGATGTGGTGTGACACAAGAGAGGCTTAGCCAACTAATTCAACTAATTCAGGTATTTTTATGAGAGGAAGGGCTCTGAGTGGATGGAGTGGAACACAATCTTTCCTCATTTCTGGAATTCCTGCCACCTCTGAGTGGTAATTGTTGAATGAAGTAAATCAACAGTCTGTGCCCCCCTACAGGGACACACACACACATACACACATACAGATGCACACAGTTTCCTGACTCACTGGTGTGGTGTTTTTTTAGACAGGTGTGTGACAGCGAGTGAGTGCACTGGTTAAATGTTAATCCCATTAAGTGGATGTGCTGTTCGTTGCTCAAGGCAAAGTAGTACCTCCACACACACACACACACACCAACTCCTATGGCGATACCTCTCAAACGGCCCTAATTAGGCTAAGGACACTGAGGACATCCGGCGTGCTACCTCCAACCTGTACAGGACCTCCAGCAGCTAAGCTACCATAGCTGGCATACCTGAGCACTTTGTCAGGCACTTGAACCCCTGCGAGCCTGGCTCTTGAGTCTTTGACCATATTAGGTTGGGTGGTCGTTGAGCTCAGCTCGAGTGGATGG